TGTTAACAGACTATTATGTGTCATCAACTCCTTCTGAGACAAACTGAGCCCTCTCTGCACAAAGCAAAAACCCAGGGAGCTGCAGTTACATCCTTCATGTAAAATCTTTATTTTGGCTGTGAACACACACATAAAGACAATTGCCCCAGGTGGAAAAGAAAAGAACCACAGAATGGTTTGGGTTGGAAATCCAACCTGGCCTTGGACACTTCCAGGGATCCAGGGGCAGCCACAGCTTCTCTGGACACCCTGTGCCAGGGCCTGCCCACCCTCACACACAACAATTCCTTCCCACTATCCCATCTATCCCTGCCCTCTGGCACTGGGAAGCCATTCCCTGTGACCTGTTTTACTCTGCTCAGTGGATTTACCTACTCAAGGGCAACGTTGTTGGGATCGAGGTCTTTTCCCGTGCCTTGGTTAACAACCTTCATGGAGAGGGAGAGCTTCAGTTTGTCATCCTTCATCTGAAACAGAGACGTGGAATGAGCATAATTAATGACTAGGATGTTAATTAATATACTGGGTCTGGTTAATTAATGGTCTGTAGTTCTGCAGGCCTACAGGGAAAAAGGGAAACTTGGACAGCCAAAAGCAGCACCACAAGGATATGACACGAAAGGGCTTTTGTTCTGGTAATTTTTAGCTGTAATTAGCATATTGTAGCTAATAAACCAACTATCTCAGGAACAAATAAAGGCTCAGGAATAATATAACTCACAACTGTAGGTTGTTTGAGTTTAACATTCTGTTTTCAGCATGACCAAACCCTGGAGCAGTAGAAGGAAGTGCCTGTTGGAGAGCTTTGCTGTAATTCCAAACCACCCACCCCAAGACAGTTCCCCCTGGACAAGTCCTTGGGCCAATGTGCATCCTTAAAAATAAAAGTTTATATTCTTTTTCCTATTTTAATCCTCTCAGGAGACTAAAAATGTTTTCTGTGTCTCTATTAGGCACTATTCATTCCTGAATCCCCCAGCTCCTTGATTACTTTATCACTTTAGAAGCAAGAGCAAAAGTTGACATTTTGAGGGGTTTTTTTCTTACAACCTTCTGCATTTTCCCCAATGCTGTTAATGAAAATACTCCTGTTTTGCTTATGTTTATTTGCAGGCAATCTAACAATCAAGTATTCCACTGTTTTCCTCTCCAACATGCTTCTAGAGCAAAGAGGCCAAGAACCCAACAACTGTGTTCTGGATAAAGCAAACAGTGGTTTAATAGAAATTTAGACAAATAAAATTTAAAATAATTAAAATTAAAAAAAGTACACCACAGGTGGCTAAAAAGAATCTGTGAAGTCCTTCATGTAGCTTTTATACAGTATGTAAGGAAAAACAAATTTCTTAACCTGTTCCCCTTATCTCAGACAAAATTATGACCTTGTTTTGTACATCAACCTCACTGTCTCATTTCAGGGAAAAATAAAAGCATTCAAGGCTAGATCCTGTGCAACTCTGTGAGTCTTCCACCTTGAAAATACAGTCAGTTTGCTTTGTTTCCATGGCTCAACAAAGCAAGAGTCTTCAGCCGGAGTTCTAAGGAATCTCTGACTGCAGATGACACGCCTTAATGCCACACCTCCTGCAGGAGGAAAGGGAAACATGGACTGCAGAGGGAAAGAAATGTGTGAGCTCTTATTTCAAAATGAACAAGCTGTTAGAGAACACTCAAGGGAGGGTTATGAAGATGGTGAAGGGTCTGCAGGGGCCATGAGGAGCAGCTGAGGGCACTTGGTGTGTGCAGCTG